ATCTTCTTTGTCATCAAGTAATTCAAGATAATTATTTGAAAGCTTTTCAAAGAATTTTACTGCCATTTTTTATCGATGAATGTTAATATTTAAGTATACGGAAATTTTTTTTTAAAAAAGAGCCTCCTGTAACCCATTTCAAGAATTTATCGATACTTCGTGTAACGGTTGACAATTTAACATATCAGATCAGGCCGATGATTTTCTGCGGTGATAAATTGCCGATTCCGTCCGTGCTAAAATCAAATCTGCAAAAATTCCGCACATTAAAATTTATGAATTCTGTGTTGGTTGGTTGTAATAGAAATTTCGAATATTCTGCAATAAGTTGATTGTTTATTCTTCGGATAATTTCGGATATCAAGCAAAATTTTTAACTCGTATTTTAAGTTCATTTATTTTCTACACCAGAAATTTTCGGAAGCAGCATAATGTATTTGTAAAGGAATTATAAAACCTATTTTCTGTGACAATTCCGTGCTATCCATGATGCATTCCGTGTTTAGGACCAAATTCCGTGATTTCTGCGGCATTCCGTAAAATGCAGAAAAACATCGGCCCTATATCAGATATCTGATATCTGATATGTACTGTACTTACGTACAGTACATACGCAAATAATTTCATTTTTAAGTAAAGTTGTTTTACAATTATCTAGTAAGGTGTATTGGCTTTTATTTATATTTAGTAAAATCTATATTGTTATTTTAATTTGAATTAGCAGGCTTTTTTATAAGCACACCTTAAACTGAAAGCTTTTGCTTTTTGTAGTATTTTCATTCTGATTAACCCCTAGAATTAAGCCAAGTGCCATTGAGACGATCATGGTGAAGAGAAAACCCTGGCTGATGATTTTTAGGAATATTGAAACCGCTTCTAGAGGCAATGTTTAGGTGCAACTTGACTATGATTTTGTATGGCGAGTTACATCTCATTATGCGGCAGCTATTGATCAACACTTAACTTCGAATTAATTGGCCAGCGTTGAGAAACAAGGTCGAAAATATAGTGATTACATTTATGATAACTTTGTTGGAATTACTAATTTAGCCGTGGCTGCAAAGCTCTATCTGGCTGCGGACAATGTGTCAAACCTTATGCATTTGGCAGATATCCATTCTCAAAAATTTTCTATGCCTAAGAGGTTACATTCAAATGTTGATTGCGTGGGCAATATGATCCTCAAAATTCCTGTAGATACGTATTGTTGAACATGAGTTATCCAGTAAGCGGTTCGCTGTTCGTAGAATTTTTTATTGTTTGTTGTATATTCGTCTACAAGATGATTTACTTGACAATACAAACTATCCGCTTGCTAATTTTATCGCACGCGTTTCAGGAAAGGATCGGTTGTCCAGTATGATTAATTCAAAGTTTTATTCAGTGGATTACTTTAAAGCTATTGCTTGTCGTAAATTTGAAAAGCTATCATTTGAAGTAAAGATTCATAATTCAACCAACAAATATCGTGTTCATTTACCCGAATTCAATTTTGAGAACGTAACACTTGATACACTGAAAAAATGCTATTTCAGAGATTTGTTGATGGAGATTTTAAAACTGTCTTGAGTATCATCACTCTTTTAACTTTATAATTGGTCACTAAGAGATGGATAAAACCAGGAGCTTTGCAAAGTACGATAAAGGATAAAGCATCTTTATGGTGAATTAATCTATCCTATGTCAAATTAATGGTTATTATAAATTAAGTAAAAATTTGGAACATAAGTCACTATTATTCTGATAAAACTCTTAATCATATGATTGAAGAATCTGCTAGTAATTGGAATAATTGGAATACTGGTATAGTTCGTGAGTTTTCTAAATTTTATCAATTGGAGACATGAAATACTTTAAATTCGGGACTAAAGCCTAACTTGTAGAGTTTAATCCTAGAGTTATCAATACTAAGTAGAACATTTTTAGGGAGCACTCTTTTTTCTAGAAGGGTCGTTCGGAGGCGAAAACTGCTTTGAAACTTTCTCCATCAGAAGTTATCATCGGTGTCACCATGGGATTCAATAATTTTGGTTAAGTTACTGGGAATTCAATATTGATTACGCTCAAAACCAGGATCATATTCTTGCTGAATATTTTATCTGATTTTTTTTTAACTTTGAAATTTTCTTTCGTTATTCTACTATGTAATTTATTTATTTTTGTTCTATGTTCAATAAAGGTTATTTTTTTCTAAATCATAATTAATTTCACCAGAATAATTTTGTAAATATGACACTAGCAAAATTTATGTGAAATACAGTTTGGGCTTGCCATGTGTATCCAGCGGCTTCGTATTTTGCACTGCAGCCTTTTTGATACTGACAACACTGACATCATACGAGAAATTTCATTAATTATTACTACACAATACTTAAGTTTTGCAAGATGATCAATGGTTATACATAAAGTGCCAGAGTATTATTAGAAAAACCGAATCAATTTCGTCAAACACTTTTTGTTTTACGTGTGGATTATGAAAAATGTAGTAAAATTATGTAACATAATGTATTTGAAGACTGTAGAAAAAAAAAGTAAGGATATACGTATGTAAACATAAATATTAATAATACGTAAACAACGCATTGAAGATAAATGTAATAGAATCGAATTAAACAATTAACATACGGTATCAGTTTCAACAATAATAAGTTCTCTAATACCTTTATCAGTTAAAAACTCTGGTATCCTATTATTTGCATCATTTTTTACAGTAATAAGTGTAGTTAACTAATCATGTTTTGTTACAAATTCAAGTTTTCTCCTTTCAATTATATTATACAACATTTTTGACATGTGGTTTTGCTTTTTAGAAAAATATTTGCTTTAAATTATGACATATAACGTATCAAGAATGGATGAAAAAGAAAAGGCCATTATTCCCTTCATATAAACCTTGATCACTTGAAAGGATTTATAAATCAGACCGGATAAACTAAATTTATGTAGAATCATATTGTGTTGTGTAATATAAAACTAGAAAAATATATGCTTTACTTTCAATTCGTTTGAAAACTTACTAAATTTTCAATGCATGTTAATAATATTATAAAACTTCTATTACATAAGTTTATACTTTCTGTATTAAAGTTCTTCTAAATTTTACAACTATTGAAACTACTAAAAATTATTAGTCCAAAAAATATTCAACTTTCCATTAATTTCGCGAAATAACACACCGGATGTGATTTCAAATTTGGCTCAAATTAAGCCTAATTTGGGCCATTGTTTTAAATAATGCTCATGAGCATTATTACGCGAAAATTTGGTATAAAAACTTGAAAACTCTATCATTATTTATTAAAACTGAATCAAATTTGCCAGTATGTCCTATCAACAAAATATATGACATACTTTGTAGTATAATTTAAATTCAAACTTAAATGAAAAAAACAATTTTAAATATATATTTTTAATTTGATAGACTTTAAGAATATTGTTACGTTTCACAATCATTTGTTAAAGAATTGATCAATTTACGCAAGACGAGAAGTTTTCAATCTCAATCTAGTTGCAGCCAAACAAATCGTCATTAATAAATTCTTAATCAAGTTCATGTTGATTTAATTTCAATGACTAGCTTTCCAGATGGTGACTTATAAGAATATGAATATGTATAAATAACGTTGCGATGTATTACTGTTTAAATTGAATTAAGTGCTTTTAATTTTAAAATTGAATATGCGCCAAGTGAATTTAAAATTAATTTATGTTAACTATTTGAGCGAATTTAAAACTTCAATTTAGAGTGTGTTTGGAATAACTTATAAAGTTACTAATTCTAACAAAATTTCACTCTGACGTACATTTTTATTTAAATACATTCTTGTTATTCAATGGATATCGGTGAATACGGTGTATTCCACAGAATAATAGTAAACCACGTGGCCG